ACACACAGGTCTCTTTTCAACAACAGGTTGACAGGCTCCATTCCCAGCAGAATCTTTTGCCCCGATCCATCTCCCCCCTCCCCCTCCCCGCTTCCCCCTCCCCCCCCAACCGACACCACACACACACAGGTCTCTTTCAACAAAAGGTTGACAGGCTCCATTCCCAGCAGAATCTTTTGCCCCTATCCATCTCCCCCCTCCCCTTCCCCGCTTCCCCCTCCCCCCCCAACCGATACCGCACACACACAGGTGTCTTTTCAACAACAGGTTGACAGGCTCCATTCCCAGCAGAATCTTTTGCCCCGATCCATCTCCCCCCTCCCACTCCCCGCTTCCCCCTCCCCGCTTCCCCCTCCCCCTTCAACCGATACCACACACACACAGGTCTCTTTTCAACAACAGGTTGGCGGGCTCCATTCCCAGCAAGATATTCACACTTCGCCCGCTGCACTATCTGTATGGCACACCTTGCTTTTAAGGCTGGGGTTAAGCACGCATGATGCGTGGTGACACCTTGACGGGTTGACGGGCTCCATTTCCAGCAGGATATTCACACTTCGGCCCCTCCACTATCTGTATGGGGCTCCTCGTAAAAGCCTGGGACTAAGCACGCATGACATGATGATTGGTGACACCTTGACGGGTTGACGGGCTCCATTCCCAGCAAGATGTTCACACTTCGGCCGCTGCACTATCTGTAAGACGCTCCTCGTTTGAGCTTGGGGCTACGCACTCATGACATGATGATTGGTGACACCTTGACGGGTTGACAGCCTCCATTCCCAACAAGATATCCACACTTCGCCCGCTGCACTATCTGTAAGACGGTCCCCGTAAAAGCCTGGAACTATGCACGCATGATGATGGATTGGTGACACCTTGACGGGTTGACGGGCTCCATTCCCAGCAAGATATTCACACTTCGTCCCCTCCACTATTTGTATGACGCACCTCGTTACTTTTGAGTCGACTCAAAAGTCACCTCTACACTTCGGGCCTCAGGTCCCCATGCATATTTCTCTTTTCAGTATCCCCTGGTGTGATGATTGCTTCTAGTCAATTATAGCATACCAGTGATGAACTCAAATCAAGCGAAAAAAAGCTCGTGCGAGGTCGCGAAGTGCGACCTTATTTCTCATGCCTAGCTCCCACCATGCTCGTGGCATCTCCGAATTAACTCTACCTTGATTGCTTTCTGTCCCTCAGTCCCCGCCCACCATTCCCTCAGTCCCCGCCCACCATTCCCTCAGTCCCCGCCCACCATTCGTATCTTGTCACTTCCGCCCCAATCCATACTACACTCACAGGTCGCTTGCGAACAACAATCTGAAGGGTTCCATTCCTGACAGCATCTCCGATCTTTCTCAGCTCAATTATCTGTATGAATGAAGCCTCCCATCCTTTGAGGCGCCTCAAAACCCGACAGCATCTCTGAGCTTTCTCAGCTCGATTATCTGTATGAAGCACCTCGTTTCAGCCTGGTGCTACACATGCTAGATCAAGGCACTTCTTCATAAGTGTGTTGTTGAAATAGAATTGCATTCTGAATATATAGAATCAATCATGAAGCCTAAACCTTTCAGCGAATATCCTGAGTCACATACCCTAGATGCCACACGCAAGAAAGAAAGCAAGAAGTTTCAAGTAATCAACACGTATATGGCCACGCAACTTCAGCCAATTCAGGCTGAATATCCCGCAACTCATTTTCCTGAACCATTTCCTTTGCACTGAACCGCGATCCGTTTCTTACTCATGCGCGTGTGTACCTCCCACCATGCTCGTCTCATCTGCCAACCAATTGGGTCAACCGTGCATGCTTGCTGTCATTCGGTCCATGCTCTCTAATCTCATCTCCTTGCTCATTGGGTCATCTCCTTTCTCCTTGTCTCATCTGCCAACCAATTGGGTCAACCGTGTGTGCTTGCTGTCATTCGGTCCATGCTCTCTAATATCATCTCCTTGCTCATTCTGCCCCAACCCATACCACGCACACACAGGGATCTTTCAAACACCGCTTTGATGGGATCTATTCCCACTGCCATTTACTGGCTTTCTCAGCTCTCTTATCTGTACGAAACTCTTCATCTCCTTACTTGTTCTGCCCAACCCATACCACGCACACACTGGTCTGACGGGATCCATTCCCACTGCCATTTACTGGCTTTCTCAGCTCTCTTATCTGTACGAAGCTCCTCCCCTCCTTTGAGCCTTTGTACAAAACCCTTCTCACCCATACCCATACCCATACCCATACCCATACCCATACCCATACCCATACCCATACCCATACCCATACCCATACCCATACCCATACCCATACCCATACCCATACCCATACCCATACCCATACCCATACCCATACCCATACCCATACCCATACCCATACCCATACCCATACCCATGCCAAGTTTCCCCCTCTGCCTAACGTTGGCCACTCTCCTCATGCCTTATTTGTACAGCTCTTCTTTCCAATGTAGGACCCGCGTGTAATGATTCTGCTTTTTAGTCGACTCAAAAGGTAACCCTAACGTTGGCCACTCACCTCATGCCTTAGTTGTACTGCGCTTCTTCCTTTTGAGTCGACTCAAAAGTCAAATAGGGCTGGGCTGGGCCCCAGCCACATTGGTCGGCCGATTTGGTGGGGGGTTAACCCTAACGTTGGCCACTCACCTCATGCCTTATTTGTACTGCGCTTCTTTCTCAAGTGATTTTGAGTCAACCCTGTGTGCTTGTTGTCCCTTAGTCCATACCCTCGATTCTCATTTGCTCACTTATTCCGCCCCACCTTTACCATGCGTGCACACACAGGTCTCTTTCATACAGTGCTTTCATGGGCTCCATTCCGAGTGGCATCTACGGGCTTCTGCTTGCTGTCATTCGGTCCATGCTCTCTCCTTGCTTATTCCTCCCCAACCTTTACCATGCGTGCACACACAGGTCTCTTTCATACAGCGCTTTGACAGGCTCCATTCCCAGTGGCATCTACGGGCTTCTGCTTGCTCTCATTTGGTCCATCCTCTCTCCTTGCTTATTCCTCCCCAACCTTTACCGTGCGTGCACACAGGTCTCTTTCATACAGCGCTTTGACGGGCTCCATTCCGAGTGACATCTACGGGCTTTCCCAGCTCTTCTATCTGTATGACGCTCCTCTCCTCCTTGAGCCTGGCCTCTCTTATCTTTCAAACAGCAATTTGACGGGCTCCATTCCGAGTGACGTCTACGGGCTCTCTCAGCTCTTCTATCTGTATGTATGAAGCACCTCTCCTCCTTGAGCCTGGCCTCTCTTATCTTTCATACAGCGCTCTGACGGGCTCCATTCCGAGTAACATCTACGGGCTCTCTCAACTCTTTTATCTGTATGACGCACCTCTCCTCCTTGAGCCTGGTCTCTTTGGGCTTCATACAGCGCTTTGACGGGCTCCATTCCCAGTGACATCTACGGGCTCTCTCAGCTCTTTTATCTGTATGAAGCACCTCTCCTCCTTGATCCTGGTCTCTTTTACCTTTCCAACAACTCTTTGATGGGCTCCATTCCCAGTGACGTCTACGGGCTTTCTCAACTCTTTTATCTGTATGAAGCACCTCTCCTCCTTGATTAAGCCTGGTCTTTTTTATCTTTCCAACAACTCTTTGACGGGCTCCATTCCCAGTGGCATCTACGGGCTCTCTCAACTCTTTTATCTGTATGAAACACCATTGGCAGCCAAGCCAGGCTGAGTAGTCCGCAACTCCTCCCAACCCAGATTCGTCGAACTGGGGGGTGGAACTTCAACCATGAACCGAACTGGGGGGTGGAAATTCAACCATGAACCGAACTGGGGGGTGGAACTTCAACCATGAACCGAACTGGGGGGTGGAACTTCAACCATGAACCGAACTGGGGGGTGCAACTTCAACCATGAACCGAACTGGGGGGTGAAACTTCAACCATGAACCGAACTGCGATTCGTTAGGGCGTGTGCACTGGCGTTCGAAAAGATTCGAACTTCTATGGTAACCTGCTTTCGTGAATCTCGCGAACCCTCTTCGCGAGGACTCTTTGAGGAAGTTGACACTTTTCGAGTTTGACGTGTTTGAATCTGAAATCCCGCCAACATTCGAACAGCACTCCCGAACGCGGCTCGAGCCCCAACTTGTGCGACGTTGCGACGCTCACGATATGCTGACGTGTTAGACTTACCCCAATCACATGTAGTGCGATGATGACGACACTGTACTGTAGTGAAGCGTACGACGACTTGTTTGAAGCTTGAAGTGGGTTTTTTTGTAGTGACTGAGCTATTCTTACAAGACTTCGCGCCAAAGCCACGAGTTCGACTAATGGGAGTTTGAATAGCAAAATGGACGGTTGTTCGATTTCAAAGTTCGATTACCACATTTTTTAGCTCTAGCGCACACGCCCTTATGTACTCTCCTACCTCCCACCCACCGTGCTTGTCTCGTCTCTCAATTAAGTCAGCCGTGTGTGCTTGATGCGATTCGGTCCATGTTATCTAATCTCATCTGCTTACTTTATCCGCCCCAACCCATACCACGCACACACAGGTCTCTTTCAAACACCGCTTTGACAGGCTTCATTCCCAGTGGCATTCGCTGGCTTTCTGATCTCACTTTTCTGTAAGAAGCTCCTCCTTTGAGTCTGGTGTTGACGTTTGAGTCTGGTGTTTGCTAAAAAGTTAGTACCATTCGCTGGCTTTCTGATCTCACTTTTCTGTAACAAGCTTGTTGAGACGTCTCAGAATCACCCTCTTCCCAGTGGCATTTGCTGGCTTTCTGAGCCTGGTGCTAAGTATGCATGGTAAAAAATGACTCTACAACAATTGGTACTTCTCGATCTTTCACAACCACTCAGATCTGAATCTAGATGTGTGCTGGTTGGGAGTTTTAGACTCAGAATTCTAGATTCACCCTGTGTGCTTGCTGTACCTCAGCTCATGCTGTCAATTCTCATCTCCTCAATAAAGCATTCCAACCCAACCCTTACCACACACACACAGGTCTCTTTCATACAACGCTTTGACAGGCTCCATTCCCGATGGCATCGACGGGCTTTCTCGGCTCTCTTATCTGTATGAAGCACCCAGTTGAAGCCCGATGCTAAGTATGCATGGTCAAAGATCACATGAGCTTCAAAACCCTCGAGCGAAAACCCATAGATGGCACAATGTACTCCCAGCATGCTCGTCTCATCCCCCAATTGGGTCGACCGTGTGTGCTTGCTGTCGCTCAGGCCATGGCAAATTCTCATGTTACTCGTTCCTCTCCAACCCATACCACGCACACGCAGGTCTCTTTTCAACAACAGGTTGACGGGCTCCATTCCCAGCACAATCTTTCGTCCCGATCCACCCTCCCCCCCCCCCCCCCCCCCCCCCCCCCCCCCCCCCCCCCTCCGGCCCCTCCCCCCACCCCCTCCCCTCTCCCTCTATCCTACACCACACACACACAGGTCTCTTGCAAACAACATTCTGACGGGCTCCATTCCCAGCAACATATTCACGCTTCCTCAGCTCACCTATCTGTATGATGCGCCTCGTGGTGACACCCAAAGTGGGCTGTGTAGGGGCTTTAACTCCACTACTTAAAAGTCCCTTTATATTGTCTGGTTTGAAGTGCTGATTGCAATTCGAGCCTCAGCCTCCCATGCATATTTCTTGTAACCCTCAGTGCGTTATTGCTTCTTTTCATTTATAGGGCTGAAAGAAACGTGTGTGACCTCTCCTTCCACCTAGTTCATTTGAGCGAATTCAATACATTTCTTTTCACAGCCAGGGCGGCAGGGCCAGCCTGGGTCGGGCGGCCCTTTGCTGGTCGGATCGAATTGTGCCATTTGTTTTTCACTCGTGGCTGCCTTATTGCTGCCTCATGGCTGCCCATCTCATCCCACAATCCATGCCCACTTTTCTCATCCCCTCACTTCTTCCACCTCAACCCATACCACACACGCACAGGTCTCTTACAAACAACAATTTAAATGGCTCCATTCCCAACAGCATCTCCAAGCTTTCTCAGGTCACCTTTCTGTATGAACCATGAACCAGATCAAATTAGTAGATGAAAACTGCGATTAGGTTTCTACTCATACTCGTCTGATCTTCAAACTTGGTAGACTGTGTGTTCTTGCTGTCCCTCAGTCCATGCCCACTTTACTCATCTCCTCACTTTCGCCACTCCACTCCACCCCAACCCACACCACGCACGCACAGGTCTCTTTCAAACAACAAATTCGCTCCAGCCCCTCCTCCCCCTCCCACACCCCTCCTCCCCCTCCTCCCAATACAGCTCTCTGTCAAACAACAACTTGACGGGCTGCATTCCCACATTTCTCACCTCTTAAGCGGCTAAAGTTTAGCCCCAACCCACCCCCCCCTTCTTCCTCCCCCCCCCCCCCCCCCCCCCCCCCCCTCCCAACACAGCTCTCTTGCGAACAACAATTTGACAGGCTCCATTCCCCACTATTCTCATCTCCTCACTTCTTTATCCCCAACCCTCCCCCCCCTCCCCCCTCTCCCCCCCTCTCCCAACACACACAGGTCTCTTGCAAACAACAACTTGACAGGCTCCATTCCCACTATTCCCAGCTCCTCGCTTCTTTAGCCCCAACCATCCCCCATCCCCCTCCCCCTCCCAACACACGCAGGTCTCTTGCGAACAACAACTTGACGGGCTCCACTACCAACGGCATCTCCCCGCTTCTTCCCCTCCCTCTCTCCCTCCTCTCCCCCCACCACAGGTCTCTTGCGAACAACAACTTAACAGGCTCCATTCCCAACAGCATTTCCATGCTTCCACAGCTCCTCGCTTCTTTAGCCCCAACTTCCCCCCCCCCTCCCCCTCACACGCAGGTTTCTTGCAAACAACAACTTGACCGGCTCCACTACCAACGGCATCTCCCCCCTTCTTCCCCTCCCTCTCTCCCTCCTCTCCACCCACCACAGGTCTCTTGCAAACAACAACTTAACAGGCTCCATTCCCAACGGCATCTCCATGCTTCCACAGCTCATTCATCTGTATGAAGCACCTCGTATAAACCTAAGCATAATCAAAGATCGTGTCAACTCTATGACCCATGGGAGAGAATATCCTTACTCACATTACCGATTGGCCACATGCAAGCAAGTGCATGGCAACTAGGACTGTTAGGTAATGAGAACGTAGAGGGAGGGGAGACCATGCGTGGCTGGTCACACATTTGGCTTGGCAGCCCAGCCAGCCTGAATGTTTCGCCCATCAAACTCGGTGCGGCGAACTCAGAGTGCGAATAGAAGCTGCTAGGCCCGGCCGGCCGGCCAATCGGTGTTCGACTTGAACCGGTTCGGCCAATCAGAGCGGAACATGAATCTGTTTGTCTCCAACCGAAGTGCGATCCGGTTTTTCACTCATGCAACCTCTCACCATGATGGCTTTTGAGTCGACTCAAAAGTCCATCCAGTTTTTCACTCATGCAACCTCTCACCATGATGGCTTTTGAGTCGACTCAAAAGTCACCACATCCGGTTTTTCACTCATGCAACCTCTCACCATGATGGCTTTTGAGTCGACTCAAAAGTCACCACATCCGGTTTTTCACTCATGCAACCTCTCACCATGATGGCTTTTGAGTCGACTCAAAAGTCACCACATCCGGTTTTTCACTCATGCAACCTCTCACCATGATGGCTTTTGAGTCGACTCAAAAGTCACCACATCCGGTTTTTCAGTCATGCAACCTCTCACCATGATGGCTTTTGAGTCGACTCAAAAGTCACCACATCCGGTTTTTCACTCATGCAACCTCTCACCATGATGGCTTTTGAGTCGACTCAAAAGTCAACCCATCCGGTTTTTCAGTCATGCAACCTCTCACCATGATGGCTTTTGAGTCGACTCAAAAGTCACCACATCCGGTTTTTCAGTCATGCAACCTCTCACCATGATGGTCTCATCTCATCCCTCAATTGGGTCGATCATGTGTGCTTGCTGTCCTTCCACCCATGACGACTATCCCCATCATCTCCCTCTCCTTCGTCTTGCATGGGCTGCTTGGTCGAACAGGCATATGCATGGGAATCGCTTGGTTGGATCTATTCTAGGGATGAGCAGAGGCCGAACTTGAACAGGTTCGAGTTCGTCCTCTGTCGAACAGCTCGAACAGCCGAACCGAACACTGTTCGGTTCGGCGAACGATTTCCGCCGACACAAGTGTTCGCCGTTCGCCTATGAAGGCGTGTTCGGGCGAACCTCGAACACGTTCGTGTTCGTTGCGGGGCAAATTGCAGCCGCGGCCCGAACACGAACATGTTCGGGCGAACCTCGAACACTGTTCGGCGAACCATTTAAGCCAAAAAAATAAACCTGTTCGGTTCGCCTCGAACGTGTTCGAGGCGAACCGAACAGGTGTTCCTCCCCTTGCTCATGTCGATTCTATTCCATCCTCTCTCGCCCCCTAATACTTCCCTCTCCCCCATCTTTCATGGGCTGCTTTTCATGGTCGATCAGGCGTATTCATGGGAATCGCCTGGATGGATCTATTCCATCCTCTCTCACCCCCTGTTATTTCCCTCTCCCCCATCTTGCATGGGCGTCTTTTCTTGGTCGATCAGGCATGTGCACGGGAATCGCTTGGTTGGATCTATTCTATCCACTCTCACCCGCTTGATCAACCTGGTGAACCTGTAAGTATCATGACCTCAGTACCAGGCTATCCCAGCTACTACCCTTGGCTTGTTGACAGCACTAAGAGTACAGACTAGGCGGCTGTACATTATTATTATCACTGCATTGCCGTGTTCATACAATCTCAAAAATCACAACGTGTGTGTTCAGCGGCCATCCATCCATCTGCACTACCATTCGTGTACCATCTTCCCAGATTTTTCCAGATCTTCCCGAATCTTCCGAGATCTTCCCAGATCTTCCCGAATCTTACCAGATCTTCCCAGATCCCATTCTCCTCTCAACCACCATGCTCCCTAAACTAAACTTTGTCCTGCCTTTCAGCAGCTATTTATAATTCCCTGTCTTTCCCCCTCCACCCGCACTCCTTTCATTTACTAATCCTTCCTTTTGCTCCCAGTGCAATGCTGTTCGTTCTCCTCACCTTTGCTCCCAACAAGGCTCCCCAGCTGTTATGATCGTGACTCGTCACACTCCCTTCTTCCAGTTGCATGTGCTTCCTAATTGTTCCCCACGCATGCGAATCGTATCTCTTTGATTCTTTCAACACACAACACACAATAAAAATATTTCTTCTTTCGTTCATTTCTCTGCACAGGGATCTCTCATCCAATTCCCTGACTGTCCTGCCATGCCTGCTATTCTCCATTTCGCTCAACCCACAACCCACAACACACAATGCACAGGGATCTCTCATCCAATTCCCTGACTGTCCTGCAATGCCTGCTATTCTTCATTTCCCTCAACCCGCAACCCACAACACACAATGCACAGGGATCTCTCATCCAATTCCCTGACTGTCCTGCCATGCCTGCTATTCTTCATTTCCCTCAACCCGCAACCCACAACACACAATGCACAGGGATCTCTCATCCAATTCCCTGACTGTCCTGCCATGCCTGCTATTCTTCATTTCCCTCAACCCGCAACCCACAACACACAATGCACAGGGATCTCTCATCCAATTCCCTGAGTGGACCCATGCTCACCAACTTCGCCTTCCTTGATGGCCTCACCTACCTGTACGACGTTGACTAGAATCATTGCTTGCTGTATGTGCCAAGCCTGAATTCACCATCTCTCATCCAATGCCCTCAGTGGCCCCATGTTCACCAACTTCGCCTTCCTTGATGGCCTCACCTATCTGTACGACGCTGACTAGAATCATTGCTGTATGTGCCCAGCCTGAGTTGACCATCTCTCATCCAATTCCCTCAGTGGCCCCATGCTCACCAACTTCGCCTTCCTTAGCAGCCTCACTTATCTGTACGAAGCTCACTACAATCATTGTTCTATGTGCCGGGCCCAGGCCGCACGGCGCTCTTTATGTGCCAAGCCTGCACTGCGGCTCACTTTCGTCATTGTTGTGTGGCCCTCCACATGCTTCTCACCCCATTTGCTGTCATGTGGATGGATGGATGCATGCCTTCACGTGCATGGGTGGATGCATGTCGCTGCGTTCCTGCATGCATGGGGCTAACAGGGCTTACTCCCACACTTCCCATCCAACCCATGTGAGCAGAAACCTCTTTGATAATAACCTCAGCGGGGAGATTCCGGCTCAAATTGGAGGCCTCACAAGATTGAAGTACTTGTGAGTAGACATGAGCAGGTGCCCTGCTCGGGTCGGGCCGACCCGACCCGACCCGTGGTTTTGGGCGGGTCGGGTCAATGTTTCTGGATCCCTGCCCCGTACGGGCCGACCCGACCCGACCCGGGGTAAGACCCGACCCGAGGGTACATTTCGGGCCGGGCCGAGGCGAGCCTCGGGTCGGGCCTGACCCGACCCGATTTCGGCGGGCCTAAATTGTCGAAATCGGGTCGGGCCAGGTGCGCGACCCAATTTCGACAGGGCTAGGGCCGAAACCCTAGCCCTAATGTAAATCGATCGAGGGAATTTTTTCCCCTTCGATTGACATTCGATTCGCCATGCCAGCAGCCCCTAGCCTTAGAGTATTAAGTACCCCCCACTAAACTACCTCATACCTTAGGCTTCACCCCAGGAATGCACATACTATCAGTAACATTCATAGATAAACGATTTTGGCTGCACTTAGTATATTTCGCGCTGGTCAAATTCGTAGATTTTAGGGTTTTCAGATTGTACAACAGAAATTGTGCAAGTCATGAAGAACACCCTCAGCCCCCTAAAGGGGCGGGTCTGTCTGGCCCGATCTGGCCCGACCCGAACTCGGGTCACCTCCGACCCGAGTCAGTAGGCCCAGGTCGGGCCAGCTGTTTCATGAGTCTGGCCCGAGCCCGGCCCGACCCGACCCGACCCGAGGGCCCATGTGGCCCGGCCAAATCGGGTCGGGTCGGGTCGGGTCGGGCCACATGCTCAACTCTACTTGTGAGAAGGCTTGAGCAAGAACCGAACCGAACCAAACTTGTAACTCGGGAGTACCCTTGAGCAAGCACTGAACCTGAATTGGACCGGGAACTTTCGAAAAGGCTTGGGCTGGGCTAGTTGCGGACTTGAAATACACTTGTAAGCAGAGTGAGAGAGGCTTGTCTAATGCCGCAATGAAAGCTCATGGTTGGCGCAAGGAGAGCATTCTTGCAGGAGTTACATTGATTTTATTTGCATCTTTTGCCGGGAAGCTGGCCATGTCTCCATGCCCCTCCTAGCCACTATCCCCATGCCGTTCCCACCTTCAGAACCATAGCCTACCACTATTTTCGTTTGAACTTGAAACGAATGTCTGCCCATAACATAATTTTTGTTCCGCCCTTTCATCTCCCCTTTTCCACTGCAGCAACATCTCTGGCACCAACCTCACATGCCCACCTGACAACTCTACCTGTGTCGTAACACAATCGCCTACAACATCCTTTTGTCGCACGTGTACACCCTTCTGCAATACCTGCACCAACCAATCTGCAGGCGAGTAAATACACACCAGCAGCCGAGTATGATTTCATAGTGGAGCGCAACAACAAGACACTACATGATGCATGGCGCAGTGTGTTTTGGAGCTGGAAGTGTTGCGGCAGAGAAAAATGATTTTGGAAACAAATCTCAGTATAGCAAGCGATGCATGGCAACGCATGAGATGGCTTGGCAATGCATGGGAATGCATGAGATGAGATGACTTGCTATTTCTGTTAGTGATCAGCTTGCGAAAATCCCCACTGCGTGCCTGACTTATGCTCGTGTCACTTGCAGAAATCAGCAGCAGCATCAGCGAGTCTTCTTCAGCAGGAGGTGGAGGTGGAGTGTTAGTGGGAGTCATCATTGGCATCGTTGTTGCTGCTGTGGTCATTCTCCTGCTTCTTGGCGCCACTCTGCTTTACGTCCGGCGCAGGAAGAGTACGTTCTGATTTACCAGACTCTGCTGGTGCACTTGTGTGTGGCTGTTCATGTTGTTGTGTGTGGCTGTTTGCAACCATATTGTTCAGTGGTGAACAAGGCTTTTACTGCATAAGCTTTGAGATGACCATGCAGTTCTGCAAGTCTAGTCTGCTCGACTCAACCAACGTTGAGACGAAATCGATGGCTCAAATTTCTGGCCTTCACGTCGACTCGGCACATGATTCGAGTCCGACCCGGCTCGACCCGACTCGAATCGACGCACAGCTACTCAGCCCAACTCGTGCTCAAGCGTGTTTCCCTGCACCCGTCTGCCCTTCTTTCACCTCTGATATCGTGACCAGGCACTGGCAGCAGCCTGGCAGCCTCGCTCTGCACGGAGTTTTCAATAGAAGAGGTCGTCAAGGCCACCAATGACTGGTCAAAGGACAACCAGCTGGGCTCGGGTGCCTTTGGCGATGTGTACAAGGGCGTGTCTCCCCGCGATGGCACCACCTTGTGGGCTGTGAAGCGAGCCAGGCTGATCGACGTGGACTTCCAGAAGGAGGTTGGTCGACTCTTAATGCATATGTTTTTATTGTGCGTTTTGTGGTTCTATATGTTTGTAGATTATGGCTTTCATAGTATTAAAAGACACAAACAGAAAACAATAACAAGAAATATCTTTCCTCTTCTGCTCTGCATTGGCTTGGCATCCCTGCTTGACTGTTCTGTTCCCTGCCACTCACCCTTCCTCTCTGGCTGTGTGGATCAGATCCAGCAGATGGCCGACAAGAACCATCCCAACATTGTGAGGCTTCTTGGCTTTGCAATCGGAGGCGACTTGAGATCACGGCCAGAGCAAGTTCTCATCTATGAATACGTGCCGAATGGTGACCTTCGCGAATGGATTGATCCGAGTAAGTGTGCCACTCCAGTGTGATCTCTTTTTGTGCCTCACAGGTTTTGTGATGTGCCTGTCATCCTCTGCCACTCATCCTCTGCCACTCATGCCGCCACTTATTCCTTGCAGATGCCGAGCGCCCAATGACTCTGAAGCAAAGGCTGGACATTCTCATCGGCTTGGCACGGGGCTTGGAGTACCTCCACAGCTTTGGCATTGTGCATCGCGACATCAATCCTGGCAACGTCCTCATCACCAACAACATGCAGGCAAGCTTTGTTGGGGTAGATTGAGTTGGTGTCAGAATGATTTCCTTGGTGGAGGCAATTGAAAATTTGGTCAGCCTGTCAATTCGAGTCTGGATAAAGTAACCTATTAATAATGTGACCATCCAAAACCTTTTTTCTAAGAGGCACGCATAGTAGACATGAGTAAAAGCCAAAAGCGAGTGTGTTTGCTTCAAACCCAAACGAACACCGGAAGCTGGAGTACGGGGGAAAGCACACGCGGTGCAAGTGATCGTAACATTTTCTTGTGTTCTCTCCACTTGCTTGTTCACGAAGCAAGTGACAAGAGTTGCACTAGCAAATGGATTACACAATGATACAAAGATAATATGCCAAAAGGACTACATCAGAGCCTAGCACTCTAGCAGGCCAGCAGGTCGACCGCCAGCGCAGCAAAGTCGGCGACCTGCTAGGACAGCAAGTCGACGGCGCGCCAGCGCTGCAAATGAGCTGCTTGCCAACGTCGCCAATCGGCGGCCTGCCAGCGCTGCAGCAATGCGTCTTGCCAACACAAAAGCGGGACGGCCTGCCAGCGTTGCAATCGCAGGTGAATGCAAGCGCATGTGCTCGCACCTACTTTACAGGTGCTTGTATAGACGTTGAGCACATCGCGCACCGCCACGATCGTTGTGCAGGTATAGTCGGTCACATGCCCCGACGGTTGCGCCTAATGAGCCACGTCGACCTCGAGCCCGAGGTTGGCTTCGCCAAAATCACCTAGTCAACGGTTGTGCACCTCCGCAGAACCTCGTTGCTTTGGTTACGTGGTCGACGGGGAAACCGCCAAGTCGGCGCTGAACTCCCTCGCCGGCGGCTTCGCAGTAGTCTCACGCAGGTCGACCAACTTCGTCGACCTTCTCGCCTAAGTCGGCGCCGCCCACTGTACACGGTCTGTTGCACCTCCCACACACACTACCACAAAGTCGGCTTCGCCCAAGCGAGGGCGAGGCCAACTCCTGTCAACAACACTTACCTTAGGCGATCTGAACGCATTCGGTTTCGGTTTGCCACGAACGTTTTTTTCCTGAGTTAAGTGTTCGTATGTTTGAGATTACAGGTAGGCATGAGCAAGAGGCGAACACGAACATGTTCGTGTCCGCCCAGGTCGAACATGTTCGGTTCTTCTCGAACACTTTACGGGAATGTAGTGTTCCCTTGTTCGCTTTGAGGGGGAAACACCTTCATGTTCGTCCCGAGCACAAAGAGCCATGTTCTATTGTGGATAGTAACGCACGCAAATGTTTGTCATGCTTTGTTCTTCATCCCTCATGCTACAATCTCTCTCATTAAAAACACCAGGCAAAAATTGCAGACTTTGGGCTGGTGCGGATGGGGGAGGGAACTTCCGTGAGCACGACGCGTGTCATGGGCACACCGGGCTATGTGGATCCAGCCTACTTCAGCACATGCAAGGCCACCACTGCCAGCGATGTGTACAGGTGAGGCAGGGATGTGTACAGGTTTGGCAGGGATGTGTACAGGTGAGGCCGGAGGCCCTTAGAAAGCTTTGCAAGAAACCTTTTGAAGGCATTTGAGGAGGCTCCAAGTGTACAGTCCATGAACATGTGCACACTACGTTTAGGTCGTAAGACTCATGTGAAGTGACTTCATCTTTGGCTCTTCCTGTGCATCGTGTGCCCTGATCATCATGTGGCTTTGAACTCCTCTTTTCAGTTTTGGAGTGCTCGTGCTGGTCGTGTTTATGGGACGCCCACCATTTGTGGAGGCTGATGAAGAGGGTCAGCTCGTCACAAAATGGGTAAGCACCCTATCCATGAGACCACGTTTTCTGCAATGGCATCCTCTTAATAGCAGTATGGAACACCCCTGTCTGCTGCCAAGTGGTTGTTTGTGGTACGTCGTACGCACGTCCAGTTTGTGGTGCGAGGATAATCACCCATTCAGGCGCAACTCTGCCAAAAAGGGATTGTGACGCGGAAACGAAGACGCTTCACAGCTGGAATGTGCCCTAAGAACTATTCCACTTCTACACAAGAACTTAGATAGCATCTTCTCAATGGCATCAAAAGGGTATTCTCTCCACACCTTCTTGTTGACCTGGCTCACCTTACTCCGTTGTTGAAGGGGTGATTTCCTCCGCCCGCTCCTCCCCCTCAGGCGTCGGAGTGCCTCTCCTCGGGGGACTTGCGCAGCCTCAACGACCCCACCTTGGACGCCCCTGCAGATGCTGTGCTGCGTGTGACCCGACTCGCCCTCTCGTGCGCCGGGGAGCGCACAGCAACCCGCCCAAGCATGGCACACGTCGCCAACGAGCTACAGGCCATCCGAGAGGAGGTGGTGGGGAAAGAGGAGCTTAGCGCAGCTGTAAAGGTGGATGCGCAGGTCCAAGAAAAGGAGGTTGCGAATGTGTTGAGCTTCGACGAACAGCTTCAGATTATTGAAGACAACTTGGCTGAAGGATAAGTTACATTCTAGTACGGTCTCGTCAAGTAGCAGCTTCCATTTGACAATCGAGTGTGAAATGTTAAGAAACGCTACTATTATCGTAATACTCCAGTCAAAAGACCCTAGGGTCTTATGAGATATATATTTATAATAATATATAGATCTACAAATGTGTGTGTGTAAGTGTGTATTTATTTTCAAGTGGGGGTTCTAAACTTAGTGTTAGAATATATTGTGTGCTTCGTTAGAAACGCAATGGAGGCGATGCGTTGCAGTCGCTTGAAGAAGCACTTGGATGCGTTAGTGGTGAGGACGTTGGCAGGCTTGGTTGGTGTCTCTTAAGTGCCATCCCAGTACTTCTTCAACCGACCGCACCACAAACTGTGCATGAATCTGATCATGTTTAGAATGTGTGCTTCATTCTTTTATCTTCGAAGTGAAACAGCCACCCGGAGCGCAGCCTGGACTCAAGGCGCGCTATGTGGCGAGAGGCTTCAGTCACCACGGGGAGGAGAAGGACCTGTGCGCGGAGGGGTACACGGGGCTCATGATTCGTCAAGGAGGGCAGCAGGGACTCATGGAGGGTCATGGGGGCTCATACTGAAGGCAACAAGGGCGGCTTCCAACCTCGCCTGCGCGCCCCCGCTGACTTCGCCTTGAAGTTGTCCGACTCAGTTGATGTCGTCCCCATCATGTGCGCCAGTGGGTGTCCCTGCTTGCCGTGTTACTGCTAGTTTGCATGCATTCATGTGCCTCTGTTGTGCGTCCCTGCTGACTTGGCCGTTAAGCTGCCTGATAGGCTGGGGTTACCGCTCCTTGCATGCATTCATGTGCTTCTGTTGTGCGCCCCTGCTGACTTGGCCATTTAAGCTGCCTGATAGGCTGGGGATACCACTTGTTTGCATGCATCCAGTTGCCTCTCTTGTGCCTGTCTGGCTCCGCCTACCTCCCCATCCCCCCTCGACTTGGCCATTAAGCTGCCCGATGGGTAGGTACTACTCTGTGGATACCGCGCCTCTCGTGTGCGCCATGCCTGTCAGCACAGGAGCGCAGGCTCTTAAGTGCCAAACGCTTGTGATGTGTGCCTGAGTACCTCACGTGAGCGCCTCTCGCGCGCCTCCCTTCCTACATGCTCTCGCGGGCTTTGCTATCAAGCTGCGGGATGGGATGGAGTCCGTTGATGCCGCCAGGCACATGAGCAGGAGCACTGGCGCACTCCCTGGCAGACTCCCTTTTGAGACGTCTCAACAGTCTCCTTTCCTACACGCTCCTGCTGGCTTTGCCATCAAGCTGCCGGATGGGATGGATTCCGTTGTTGCCGCCAGGCAGAAGATCAGGGAAACTGGCGGACCCTGGCAGACTCCCTTTTGACACGTCTCAAAAGTCTTCCTTCCTTCACGCCCCTGCTGGCTTTGCTATCAAGCTGTCGGATGGGGTGGATTCCGTTGATGCCGCCATGCACATGAGCAGGCGCACTGGCGGACCCACTGGCAGACTCCCTTCTGACACGTCTCAAAAGTCTTCCTTCCTACTTGCCCCTGCTGGCTTTGCTATCAAGCTGCCGGATGGGATGGATTCCGTTGATGCCGCCAGGCACATGAGAAGGCGCACTGGCGCACTCCCTGGCAGACTCCCTTTTGAGATGTCTCAAAAGTCTTCCTTCCTACACGCCCCTGCTGGCTTTGCTATCAAGCTGCCGGATGGGGTGGATTCCGTTGATGCCGCCAGGCACATGGGAAGGCGCACTGGCGCACTCCCTGGCAGACTCCCTTTTGAGACGTCTCAAAAGTCTTCCTTCCTACTCGCCCGTGCTGGCTTCTTTATCAAGCTGCCGGATGGGAAGGAGTCCGTTGATGCCGCCAGGCACATGAGCAAGTGCACTGGCACACTCCCTGGTGCACTCCCTGGCGCACTCCCTGGCGCACTCCCTGGCGCACTCCCTGGCGCACTCCCTAGCGGACGCCGCCTTCCCATTACCCGGGGCACTGGCGCATTCCCTGGCAAACTCCCTGGCAGACTCCCTGGCAGACTCCGTGGATGCTGCTCCTCTTATGTGCGCCGGACGGGCTGGATTCCATTCATGCCGCCCTGCTCACGTGCCTGCCCGACTCCCTGGCGTACTCCCTAGTGCACTCATTGGCAAACTCCCTTTCAGACTCCCTGGCAGACTCCCTGGCAGACTCCGTGGCGGACTCCCTGTTAGAGACTAAGGACCGAGTCTATGAAGATTTGAAGCCGAATTATCTCAAAATCGTTGGCTTAAAAATTCTGGACAGAAAAGTCGTGTTCGCAAGAAAACGCCGTCGACGAATACCTAACCGTTAGAATTCTGCCAAACCCGAATATGTTGCAGCTCTAAACCTTAGCTACAATTCCCAATTCGAATCGTGTCAAGAGATGAAGTATATCTTGAGTTATGATTTTTGGCGCACTAGGGGGTATGTTGCCACATAAATTTTAACTCAATCACAAGAGTCTCACAAGTTCACACAAGTTCCACACAAGAGAGTTAGAGTATCAATAAACCAGGTAGGAGGGAAGAGGAGGACGAGAGGGAAGGTCCCAAGAGAGTCCCCAACCAAGGAAACCCCATGCCACACAATTTCCCTCTCAATAGGCAACCCAACTTTCACCCTTGTCATTTTCCCAACCTCCACAATCCACCTCACCCAACTTGGCCACACTTGCCAACCTGGTTTGGCTTCTCCCAACCACATGGCAGCATCTACAGTGATGGGTACGAATTTCCCAACCCCAAAAGGTCTGTACCCCATACAAAGTCAACCAACAGGTTCCTATAATCTCCGCAACCAAAGTACAGAAAGCATACGAACTCCAACGTTCGTAACTTTCTTGTTCTTGCTCCGATCGCGACGATTCTTGGTTCGTCGGAAAGCTCTCGAGTAGAGCAGTCACTTCACATACCCGCTCAAGCAAAATGACATTCAGAAACACTCAGGAAATCCAAACCACACGAAACACAAATTCTTGCACACGCTCACACCACGCATGCAACGCACGAACACATGATGGGAGGCAGACAGACGTGAATGCGAATGGTAGCATCACACAACACTCCCTGGTGGGCTCCCTGGCGGACTCCGCCTTCTCATTTTCTGAATTCCTCCCAACCGAGCCTTCCCCCTCTCTCCACCCTTGGCCTGTCCCTTGATCTCCACCCTTGGCCTGTCCCTTGATCTCCACCCTTGGCCTGTCCCTTGATCTCCACCCTTGGCCTGTCCCTTGATCTTCACCCTTGGCCTGTCCCTTGATCTCCACCCTTGGCCTGTCCCCCGATCTCCACCCTTGGCCTGTCCCCCAATCTCCCCTCCCTGTCCGTCCCCAACCCTTGGGGAAGAGTCAGGGCACTTCAGCCCTTGGGGGAGGGACAAGGAACTTCAGCCCTTGGGGGAGGATAGGGCACTTCAGCCCTTGGGGGAGGGTCAGGGCACTTCAGCCCTTGGGGGAGGGTCAGGGCACTTCAGCCCTTGGGGGAGGGTCAGGGCACTTCAGCCGTTGGGGGAGGGTCAGAGCACTTCAGCCGTTGGGGGAGGGACAGGGCACTTCAGCCCTTGGGGGAGGGACAGGGCACTTCAGCCCTTGGGGGAGGGACAGGGCACTTCAGCCCTTGGGGGAGGGACAGGGCACTTCAGCCCTTGGGGGAGGGACAGGGCACTTCAGCCCTTGGGGGAGGGACAGGGCACTTCAGCCCTTGGGGGAGGGTCAGGGCTCTACAGTCCATTGCTGTAGGGGTTATCAGCATTGGCGCTCTATAGTCCACTGCGGTGGGGGTTATCAGCATTGGCGGTTTGGGCCATCTGGGGCTGCAGACTGGCCTCTCCCACACCCTCTCTCCCTCCCATCCCTCCCGTCCCTCTCATGCATCACGATCTATACTCCACTGCGGTGGGGGTTATCAGCATTGGCAGTTTGGGCCATCTAGGGCTGCAGACTGGCCTCTCTCACACCCTCTCTCACACCCTCTCTCACCTGCCGCATGCCCTCTCCCCACTCCCCAGGCAACATGGTCTACAGCCCTCTACGTGTGCACATAACTCGTCCGGGCATGAAAGTTGGAGTGATCGGCATCAGGTGTCTTGGCATCAGGTCTATAGTCCACTCTCACTCCCCACACTCCCCAGGCATCATGGTCTACAGCCCTCTACGTGTGCACATAACTCGTCCGGGCATGAAAGTTGGAGTGATCGGCATGAGGTGTCACGGCATCAGGTCTATAGTCCACTCTCACTCCCCACACTCCCTAGGCATCATGGTCTACAGCCCTCTATGTGTGCACATAACTCGCCCGGGCATGAAAGTGGGCGTGATTGCAGGGGTACTGGCGGACACCCTAGCAGACTCCCTTCGCTGTTATGTGCTGTTTGTTGCAACGGTAGCCCGTGAGTGTGGCGAATGAGTGTGGGAGTGGTGATGGGTGAGAGTGCAGTTTGTGGCAATAGTAGCCTATGAGTGTGGCAAGTGAGAGTGGGAGTGGTGATGGGTTATAGTGCTGTTTGTGGCAACACCATCTAGTAGCCCGTGAGTGTGGCGAGCAAGTGTGAGTGAGCAAGTGGTCATGACTGCCTGTTTGTCATCTTGTGGCTGTAAGTGAGGGAGTGTGCGTGAGTGTGAGTGAGTGAGTGGGAACAGTAGCCCGTGAGTGACTAACAAGACGGCACTAGCAGTGGCGGACGTGTTTGAGGAGCAAGTGTTGACTCGGTTTGGCGCGTGCGGTGAGGTGCTAACCGATCAAGGAACCGAGTTCCAAGGAGAGTTCGAGGAGCTGCTGCGCTCCTGCATGATCCCGCATCGCGCGACTTCGAGGTATCACCCGCAGAGCGATGGGTTGACAGAGCGGTTGATTCATACTTGAAGAAGGGACTAAGGGCATATGGCGAGACAAAAGAGAGGGACTGTGATAGGCATATGCACTTGGTGATGGCAGGGTATCAGTTCAGCAAGCAGGCAACCCTTAAGGACCTGTCTCCCTATCATCTGCTCTTCGGAAGGGAGCCGACGCTAATGGTAGGAGCACCGAGACTTCTGACCGATGTAGTCATGGCAGGGACGCCCGAGAAGTGGGCAGCGCTGGCCACGGCAAGGGGTAATTACCTGAGGCAGCTGCTGCCGGCTGCCATGGAGAACTTGCTTGTAGCGCAGCTGCGAGACATACATCGATATCGGCAGAGGCAGGAACAGAGGGATGGGGGAGTGCCTGCGGCGCTCTGTGAAGGGCAAGAGGTGTACGTCTGCCGCCCGAGGAAGGATGGGCTGGATGTGGGTCTCTCCCACCAACGCTGGACTGTGAAGGAGGTATGCGAGTCGAGAGTGTTGGTGCTGGAGAGTGAAGCAGGAGTCAGGGCGGTGGATCATATTATCAACGTGGCCAGAGCGGGGCCCGTGCACCAGCCCTATGCAAGTCCCGTGACCCGTGCGAGGGCGGCTCAGGGCAACGGGAGGGGGCAAAGGAATGCTACTAGCAGGAACAAGCAGGCTTAAGGCAAGAGCTGAGGGAAGGACCAAGCCTTGGAAGGAGAGTGCGGGGGTGCGAGAAGAAGAAGAGAAGGGAAGAGTGGAGATGGGTGGGATGAAGGAGGGAGAGAGAGGACTGAGTGAAGGTCACAAGGAGACCAGAGCAGGAGAGAAGTAAGAGGCAGACCAGAAGGGAGAAGAGGGATTGGGTAAGAGCATTTCCGACAGCTGTCGCGTGATAAGGGAGGAGCAAAAGATTGTATATACTGTAAATTTGTATAAAGACGCGGAGCTGGTAATGTCGAAGGTGGGAACGGTGTGGCAGGGAGAAGACAGCCGAAGGGACGAGAGAACAGTGGAGTGAGGAGGGGCGGGAAGGAGAGCTGCCAGCTGGAACTCGCTGCTTTGCTGTTTCGTGTGCTTGTGTGTGAATGCATGTTTGATATCTTGTAGGTTGGATGCCCGAGCCAGCTGGAAATACAGGAGCAAGCTGGAGGCCCGGCAGGAGGTGGCTAAGTGCCAGTCGGGTAGAGGCGGGAAGGTTAGCTCTTCGCCAAGGGGAAGAGACCATCACCTTCAGGGGAACATCGGGGAGTAGCAGTGGGGGGAGGGAGCTAGAAGAGTTATAGGGGGTACGGGAAAACGAACGACTCTGTAATGTTTGTATGTTCTGTGTAATTCTCACTAAGTGTTTCATGCCTTCGTGAGTTCTCAGGCCATAACAAGCAGCAAGGGATGGAGTGAGGAAGATTGCCTGTAGGAGGCGTGAGTAAGCTACGGAGCTTATCAAAGGAATGCTACTAGCGGGAACAAGCAGGCTTAAGGCAAGAGTTTAGGGAAGGACCAAGCCTTGGAAGGAGGGTACGGGGGTGCGAGAAGAAGAGAAAGGAAGAGTGTAGCGGGGTGGGATGAAGAAGGAGGCAGACAGAGGACTGAGTGATGGTCACAGGGAGACCAGAGCAGGAGAGAAGCAAGAGGCAGACAAGAAGGGAGAAGAGAGATTGGGTAAGGAGATTTCTGACACACCTCGGAATCGAATCTGAATACCACGCCTAGACAATTCTGGACTTTGCCAAACACCTAACCACGAGCCCGACACCATCCCGCTCTCCTTAGCCGATCATCGCCTCTATCAGTAGCAGCTCGGCTGTCTACTTTTCGCCGCTGTTACATGTCGCCTGGACCTATCCTACATCGCCAGCCAGCTCACCCAGTACCTGTGCCAACCTGAAGGGGAGAATATGGCGGACCTACGACGCGCCTTACAGTATCTCGTCTCTACGCCCGACGTCGGCCTTACCTACAAGGCGAATCCAACGGCTACTCTACAGCTTACCGGCTGCGGAGAGTCACTCTACAACGGTAGTGAGCTAGACTACGGGGTTGGCACGAACTACTAGGAGTGATCGTAGCTTTGCTTGGTTCCTTAGCACTTGCGCATTCACGAGAGAGATTGGCAAGAGTTTCCACTAGCAAAGTCGAAATTGCAGAATGATTGAACAAGCAATGACAGAATGACTACATCAGGCACCTAGCAACCCTGCAGCTAGCCTGGTCGACCGCCAGCACAGCTCGGTCGACCGCCTGCCAGCGTTGCATAGAGGAGCCGCGCCAGCACTGCAGAAGGGCGACCTGCCAACACTGCAGGTCGACGGC